GGCTCAAATGGGGCTTTGATCAGGGCTCGCAGGACCAGCGTTAAATCCCACTGTGGAACAAGTGGGCGTGAAACAGGCCTACGTCTTTGTACACCTTTTAGAAACCGCTTCATCAGCGGGTGATTAAAAGCTGTTCTGTCTCCGAACCCTTCGTGGCAGGAAGAGATGGCTGCAGCGTACGTTTTAATCGTGCTGAATGCCAACTTCCTATCCATCAGCTGTTGTAGAAAAGACAACACGCCGCCTAATGGGCATGAGGTGGCCTCTAAACCTTTCTCTGTACACCAGCGCTGAAAGGCCGTCCACTTTGATGTGTACAGAGCTGTGGTAGATGCAGCACGTGAATCTTGAATTGTGCGTACTACCTCCTGAGGGAGACCCATCCTCTCTAAGCGGGACCGCTCAGCGGCCAGACCCACAGGTGCTGACCTATTTCTGGGTAACTCCTGATCACTCCTCCTGCTTGAAGGAGAGCATCCTCCCTCCACGGCAGTTTCCACGGACGACCCGACAACAGACGTTGCAGGACTGGGAACCATGGTGCGTTCACGCGCTCGGGAGCTACCAGGAGAGCCGTCAATCCCTCCTCCTGAACTCGGTTCAGGAACCGTAAAATCAGAGGAGGTGGGGGAAACGCGTACAGAAGCGTTTTGGGCCACGGGCTGTGAGCAAATGCATCCACCCCCAGCGGTGGATCGTCTCGCGGGCTCAGGGAAAACCATAGTTGACACTGAGCGTTCTCTCGCGTCGCAAACAGGTCCACATCTGCTTTGCCAAACTTCTGCCACGTCTGAAACATCAGGTCTGGATGGAGGGTCCAGTCCGCGTGACGTGGGCCGCCCCTGGACATCACATCTGCCCCTCTGTTCAGAACACCGGGTATGTAAACCGCTCTGATGGAGAGCAGGTTTTGGTGAGCCCAACACAGTAGCTTTCGCGCAATGTGTAACATCTGGGCTGAACGCACACCCCCCTGGTGGTTTATGTACGCAGCAGTCACCATGTTGTCTGTGTGAATCAACACGTGTTGATTCTGTAGCACGGGAGCAAAGTGTTGAATCACATTCAGCACTGTGCGACACTCCAAAACATTGATGTGGGCTGATGTGTGGTGGGGCCACAGCGCCCCTACTGCTTGAGATAGGCATGTCCCCCCCCCAACCTGACAGCGACGTGCCCGTGAAGACTGACACGTGTGACGTGGGACTGCTGACGGGAACTCCCTCTGACAGAACCAGGGTGTTTCCCCAGTGTCGGAGGTCTGCTCTCACAGAGGAAGGGACAGTGATCATCCGTCTTTTGTGTTTTACTGGATCCACACGCAGACGCGCAAACCACCTCTGGAGGCGTCTCATGTGTAACAAACCCAGCGGAACCACTGTGTGAGCTGATGACATCATTCCCAACAGCTTCATGACGGAGATAGCTGTTATCACTTTGCCAGGTCTCACGTGGCGGAGTTGACTTTTTAAAGTGTCGATTCTCGTTTGTGATAAGCGAGCCTTCATGGTAATTGAATTTAATTCCACTCCCAGATAAACAATTGTCTGGGCCGGGAAAATCGAGCTTTTCTTCCAATTTATGGCGAAGCCCAGATTTAACAGGTGTGATGCCAACACCTGAGCCTGCATCAGCGCCTCCTGTCTGGAGTGTGACAGGAGCAGCAGGTCGTCCAGGTAAAACAAAACTCTCATCCCTGCTCTGTGCAGTGGATGCAGGGCTGTCTCCACACACTTTGAGAACGTACGAGGCGCGAGGGAATACCCGAAAGGCAGCCTGTTGTACTGATACTTCATCCCCTGAAAGGCGAAACGCAGAAATTTCCTGTGTTTTGGGATGATCGGTATGTGAAAATAAGCATCTTTTAGATCGATAGAAACAAACCAGTCGTTTCTCTGGATGTTGTCCAACAGCTGTCTGATTGTCAGCATGTGAAACGGTCTGTCCATGATCGCTTTGTTGAAAGCTGACAGATCCAGAATCGGTCTCATCCCTCCGGTCCTTTTGGGGACCAGGAAGTAGCATGAGTAAAACCCTGTGTTTTCCTCTCCGTTGGGAACTCTGGAGATTACGCCTTTTATCAGAAGCTCCTGAACTTCTGCATTTAAGGCTGAGATTTAGTCTGGTGATGACAGGACCGTCTCCATAACTCCTCCGAACGGAGGGGGTCGGATTGCAAATTGCAGCGTGTAACCCTTGCATAACACTCTGTCCATCCATCTGTCCGGCGAGCAGGTTTTTAGCCACTCTGCGTAGCGTTCGTGGAGTGGACGTGCGTTTAAATGATGCGCTGTGTTCTGAACGGATGTCATCCAATCCGCCGCCTCGACCGCCGTCATGCGTCGCGGAAATGTTTTCCGCGTGACCCAAGGCGAGGCTTCCTCGAAAGGGCTGTTCTGCACGCACCCGTGCGCTGCGTCTGGATCGCGGACCGACCTTCATGTCTGGGCGGGCCGGTGTGTGCTGAGGCGAAGCGTGTGCCAGCTGATGACGTCATGAGGCTGCATGTTTAACGTTGCTGTGTGAACGTTGAGAGGCGGAGGGCGTGACTTCATCAACGCCGTGCTGTCGGAGTGAAGGTTGCGAGCCTCGCGGGAGCGCACGTTTTCTCTGGAGGGACGCGCGCCGCTCTCGCTGGGGGCGGGGCTCGTCGCCGGGTTCGTTCAGCTGTCTCACGCTTATGCCGCCGTGAGCTGCCGATCGCTGAGACGCGGTGGATGACGGCCGCTCGCGTTTGCTCAGGTGAGGCGTGTGTTGTTTTAGCTGAGAGCGGGAACCTCCACCGGACCTGGCCTGCGGTCCCACATTTATACCGATGTGAGCCGGTGAGTGCCGGGCAGCTGTGCGTGCATCATCAACACAGCGCCGTTTGGATGGAGGCTGCTTGCCTCGCTCGGGTGCGCGTTTAACACCGCTTGGGTGGTGATTGTGCGGGTCTGATTGATAACGAGTTATTTCGCTTACCGTAGTGTCGAGTGAGCGTCTCGTCGTGTGTTGGAGCGGCGGTGGGTTTAAAAAACCTTTATTTAAGGACACCGGCTCTTTATGTGTGGAGGATGTGTGTGCAACGGCTGTGAACTCATCCGAGCTTACAGACTTGCTAAAAACAGGCACTTTGATCATTGAAAAATCATTTATTTCAACTTCTGTGTCATTTATACACACATCCTCCGCAGACCGTCATTTTTTAAATCTTCTCCTTCGTGAGCTCTGCGATTTGTTTGCCCCGAGCGCCGTCTGCAGGCGATCTCTGGGGAAACGCTGAAGTGCAGGTTGCCGGAAAGAGGAGGGATGGTCTCTGACGGGCGGGGCTGGTGGTGGAGCTGAGCGAGACGAAGCTGCTGCGGCCGTGGAGCGCCGATGTTTCTGCCTCTGCTCGCGACGATCTCTCCAGCGGGCCGGGGGACGGGATGAGCCGCGCGGCTTGATGAGATGGCGCACAGCTTCCGACATCTCCTCCGACTGCTTCGAATTCGCCAGCATGGTTTTTAAGCTGCTTCCGAATAGCGCGTCCGACGTGATGGGGCCCTCCATCAAGTCCTTGTGCAGCTTATCCGGCAGCGAGGGAGAGTGACGAAGCCAGGTGGATCGTTGGATTACCGTCATCCACGCTGCAATCCTCGACAGGCAAACCGTGGAAGCGGCGCACATGTTGAGGATGGCGTCTGCCGACTTACAGAGGGAGCTCTTTGTCTCCTTGGGCAGGTCTGCGGCCTCCAGCCTCTTCGACATGCTAAAAGCTAGCAGCGCCACGTTGTTGCTAGCTGCGGCCGCCTGAAAAGCACACTGGTGGGCTTGATTGGAGAGCGCGGTCACCGCCTGGTCGTGTTTCCCCGGAGGGACGCTGCTCCAACCTGGACAGCTTCGCTCCGAAGGCTTCCGCGAGGCTTGGCTCAAGGGGGGGTACCGAGGGATAGCCCCGCTCGGTGAACCCCTCCACTCTGGTGATGGGAGCGTAAGTGGAGACGGGCGCCCTTAACCTACCAGGACCGGCTGCGGCCTCGTTCCAGTACGATGTCACCGCTGGAAAACGAGGCCAGATGGGATCAAGACGGCGAGCCGGCGTGGAGCCAAACCTTCCCGCAAGATCATCCGATCTGAGCGGGGGGGGTGAGGGGACGGAGAGCCCCTTTACGTTAGCAGCTTCCCGGATAATGGCGGGCAGCTCCGAGAGGAGTGCGCCGACGGCAGGGAGCGGTGTGGCCTTTGAGGCGGGAAACCCCGGGGGAGTCGAGCATCCGCTCGGCCTCCCTCTTTCCAGCACTGCGCTCCCCAGGAGGGAACGAGCGTCGGGGCTGCTGCTAACGTCACCAGTCCCAGAGGAATCATCCGATTCACTCCGAGAGCCGGCGTCAAAGAAATCCATGGCGTCGTCCAGCGAG